TGGTGCGTGTCAAGCTACCCAATCCACTCAACAAACATGCACATTCGTTTCAAGGGCCGTGAATAAAAGGTAAATTGCATATACCAAGGCGCATGTGGACCATACCGTTTAGTGTTAAATCCATTGAAATTGTAAGGCTGAGGGACGAATGAATGTTGTTCTGTGAGGCATGGCTAGACGTATTTGTCTATCAACTTGTGAGGTCTAACTCAGACTTGCTAGCATAAGTTCGGGGAAGATAGCGGTTTTTGCAAGCCACAAACCAGGTGATCCAGTCGATAGAAGTTAAGAGTTTTGTTCAGCTAAAGTCATTTCTGTCATAAGCGCACAACCACACATTAGAATTCACGTCATCGAATATAAATAGGTTTCTCACGTTGCCACTCGATTCATGTATTTGTTAATTTCGTTTGGCCGAATAGGACAAGAACATTTGCACTCATGTCCAGTTCATCAGTCATGATAGGTGTAGAGAAGGCGATAGCTTACATTACTACAACGTATGTCACTATGATGATGAAAACTAGGAACAGTAAAAAGGATGAATTTGAGAAGTTTACTGAAATCGATTTCATTATGGTGTCCTAAACTTCTTTAGAAATACAAGGCCCAATTTATAAGCTGCGTTTTCCATTAGAATCTGTGGTCATACGTAGAAGTCTATCATATCTAGACGCGATCAGACAACCACCAGAAGCCCGAGAAATACCGTACAGCTGTTACAAACTTTCTGGAATCGTCATCGGCGCAGATTCCATCTGGCCGCTGTGAGTCTACAACCCGCAACTCGACCGTTACCATTTCGTGCTGAGGACTACTGAGCTAAACGGGATGATTTCATCCGACGTGAGTAAGTTAGTAAGTGTGATATGGTGCCAGAGAGAGTGTGTGCATTGCTGATGGTTCCCAAAAGGGTGAAACCGCTGCACAGTGCTTTTCCGGATAAGTAATGGTAGTCTGCTCAGGTTTAGAGATGATGAACATTTACTTATTCTCCACACCGATGCTCGGTACACGTGCGTGAAACACTTGATTTGTACTTGCACTCTTTCGCACGCTGCCATTCCTGTTCCCCAACCTTCAGTGCACCCAACCTGATCGAGTTCAAAAATCGAGTTGATAGTGCACTCACTTCATTGCCCTATCTCCCATAGTACAGTCTAATTTTGAGAGATCCAAAATCCATACTTTAAAAATAATTTTTCCCCACGCAAATTTCAACAGTGAATTTATATGTTGACGCTTCAAACTCAAACACTTTGCCCCATGCGAATTTCAAGGGGAGGTGACTCTTTTAACCAAATACTCCATACCTCATGATCCCCTCCGGAGTTATAGTGGATTATTATTTTGACAATTCAAACTCGGTGAGTCCACAAGCTTGTAGTGACTCGTTGTTAAACGATTTTACTGAATTGGTTTCCATTGAATTTTTCACACTTCTATGATTTTCGCACTGATCACCCTACGGGATTTGTCAAGCTTTAGCTTTTATACCCGCATAAATCCATTGTTCCATTGTTCTAATAGATCAATCTCCTGTCACGTTTTGCATGTTCATATGTACAATATTTGTTTTGCAATACTGTTCTTTGCCAAACTATGGGACTTTTCAACCGTGTGCTTTGGCCTATCATAAACCATTGTTCAAATGGCTCTATCGTGCCGCGTTGAATTGCAAACCGCCTACCATTGTGTGCCTTGTTCACTAACTCTACACCAAGATAGGAGCGATTCTGAAACCGCCATTCAATGAGATGACGAAAGCAGCGAAACCTTCATCATAAGACTGACTCTGTGTCGTGCTTGTCGTCTTCCTCGATTGGATTCTCTGAATCAGCCGTACCGGTGCTGGATAGTCCCTCGCGCAACTCGCGACCATTAAGTCATTGGTAAAGTTGCGTCCCATCCATCGATTCCGGTTCGCAACCATTTCATTCGCATATTTCAATATTTGTCAGTTTCTCTTGAAGTAACTTTACTTTAATTTGCGTGACGTTAGCCAAAGCAGCTGTGCTCCTCACTACGGTACGCCGACTACAGAGGATCGATTGATCTGAAATGCACTATTGGCTCAACGCTACGCAGTTTAGTTCGCGCTTCTGTATCACCAACTTTAGCCAGTTCCCCATTTATACACACTGAATTCGAAATCATTAACTATACAGTCTGTCTTTCATAGACATTACTGGTTGTACATCTGTCAGAGAAGCTTGGGTTCCTTCATCTCATGCTGGTACCGCTTCATCATGCAACTGTCCAGAATAGAAAATCAAGTTGTATAAACACCATTGTAAACTCTGATGAAACTGCCATAACCGACCGTGCAATCGTGTTCAAACTTCAATGACTACTTCATGTCTACTTATAGCACTAATGTGAATGAAGATACTCAGTTTAAGCTGATACACAGAAGCAGAAATACACTCCAAACTGTTGAATTAGTGACATATGTCGCCAACTCAGTTTAGTTAGGTCATCATGCTCACCAGGCCCTGACAACATCCCTCCAATACTGGTAAAGCACGGAGGTCCAGACATCCCCCTGTTTTTGCTTAATGTATTTGCACTTTCCATGCTCAATGGGGAGTATCCTATGCACTGGAAACAATCAACTATAATGCCAAGAAACAAAATCGGATCTATGCAGGACGTAAAAAATTACCGCCCCATGCACCACACATCTATTGTCTCCAGAATCATGGAGAGAATAGTTAAAGAAAGCATAATAGAATATTTGAGTTCTATGAGCCTTCTCAGTAAACATCAGCACGGTTTTTTGAAAGATAGGTCGTGCACTACCTGTCAGTTAGATTACCTTGATTATGAGCCTAGAGCAAGAGACGCCGGAAGTGGCATCATCGTAATATTTCTTGACATCCAAAAGGTTTTTGGCCGCGTCCCACACAATTTATTGTTGCGGAAGCCTATGTCCTATGGTATCACAAATTCGCTTCTAGATTGGTTGTCCTCTTACCTCGTGGGTAGAAAACAAGTAGTCAAAATCGGTAACCCTTACATCTGAAGCCACCACAATCTCTAGTGGAGTGATTCAAGGTAGCGTGCTAGGCCCGCTTTTATTCTTAATCTATTTCAACGATCTCCTTGATGAAATCTCGTATGGGAAGCCGTTCCTTTTCGCTGATGATGTTAAAATTTTCTATTGTTCCGCCTCTGGGCAATGTAGTCCTAACTTAGCCTATATCCACTCGGATTTGTCCGCATTAGAGCACTGGAGTAACTCCTGGAAGTTGCACGTAGCCACTGACAATAGTAATCTATTGTACCACGGCTGTGGCCCTTCTCTGAACATCCTTACATTAAACGATACCCCTATTCCTGTGTGTGGCGCAGTCCGAGACTTTGGTCTAAGATATTCTGCCTCGTTTAATTTTTTAGAGCATGTTATATTCTTGCAGGCTTCTGCCAGAAAAGTGATCGCTTATATAAGTCGAACTCTTATTTTGAGGGATTCCAGGCTTCAAGCCTTTAAAATATGTGTTAGGCCGAAGCTCGAATACTGTACCATAGTGCATAGTAATCTGAGAAAAGTGGATATTATAGCACTAGAAAACATTCAACGATCATTCACAAAAAGATTTTTGAACATGCCTAATACTATGACATACCGTGAGCGTTGCGAGACGCTAAATCTGGAGCCGCTATGGCTATGCAGACTCAAACTTAATCTGTGCCTTCTATACCGCTTACTATTCGGGTTAAGCTTCACTGCTCAGCCAAAACTAGAGTTTCAGACTCGTATGCGTTATGAACTAAGAAATATCGAGTGCACAGTGAAAATATCAAAGTCTCGCACAAAGCTCCGCTCAAATTTTTTCTCCGTAAAATATGCGTTAATATGGAACAAACTTCCATCGAGTGTTAGAAACTGTACTACCATCCACAATTCAGACGCATGAATAATATTTACCTGACTGTTGCAAATATTTGGTCAACACTAAGCCAAACGGTGACTCTAGATGATTTGTATGACAAAGGTCCTTGATACATATGAAGGTCACCATATCCTCTATTCGTTTCAATAATATAAGATTACCTACATATAGTTGAATTCTTGAGTATATATTTGAGAACGATCTATCAATCCGTCTAACCAATTCTGTTTGCTCCTTTGACGCACTGGTTCGTAGATGCACTACGCCTTTCAAGCTGATGTCTCTGTACCATCGTCGTCACTCGCCAAGATCTTCCATCAACTTGTGACTGGCCTATCGGCAAGCGTTTGTATTCATCATTATGTTTTATAATTCCTCATACCTTATCTTCTTCTTTGTTTTACCGTTGGTCATGACTGGGCTGATCACTTGTGGTGACGGATTACAGCTTCCAAAATAAAAAAGTATACCCATGCAAATCATATTACTACTGACTCGCTGGTTTAAAACAAAAAAGTGCCATACTTGCTTGATCCGCATGACAGAACGGGCTGAGGCTTCATCGCCTATAATGTATGCATAAAACCGCCCCAAAAATGACATTTGATACCTAGTTCTGATGGCCAATTTACTATCCTGCCACACAGGCACAGAGCCAATTGGAGCATGGAAGTGCGGGTGAAACCCATCGTGGAAATACCCTGCATGGAAGCAAGTCCCCTGGGGACAGTTCCATGGATGACCGTATTACTTTACTTGAACATTCCGCGAAATCTACACTTATTATTGTTCCCAGTTTCTTTATATCTCTACTTTTTCCAAACTGCGAATCAATCCAAAAACCCATGTGGGAACCACTGATCAAAAGACGAATAATTAACTATATTATGCGATCACGTTGTACATGTTGATAAGACCACCCAATTGGTCTGTGCCTCGCATTGCTGAGGAATAAAACGTTTATTTATTTATTTATTTATGGAGCCTGAGGGAAGTCACTAGCGCTCAGAGCTAATCATATCAATCATTATTCCAACTTGATGTGCTCGCTCAATGCTAAAGAGGGACATTCCATAAGATGTTATAAATGTGAAGGAGGTTTACCTGTGGTGCAGATCTTCTGTGCAGCAAGTTTCTTTCTTCCGCCTAAAATTCAAAACAAAGTATGGGTTCATTCTGGTTTATTTATCCCAATACTGATATAATGATCTTAGCTTTGAAAATGCTTATCCTGCAGGTAAGTTACACAGTACTGCAGATCAGTGTGTCCGTATACTTTGCTTACATAATGAAACAATTATATGCCGCAGAGAATAAACTAGTTTATTGCACTTATTAATGTGTGGGCGGCTGTAGGCTACATTACAAGTAACAGGACAAATCACAAAAGTTCAACTTGCTTTCGGCCTAATCGCGAGTTTGCCCATGTCCGATAAGCTATAGGTTGATGATTGGAAATAGCTGGGAACCACAGTTCACCTATGAAGAGACTGAGACTGTGAGACTGTATTTAAGAGCAAGTAGAAAGGTTTCTGTACAACTCTATCGAATTACGAAAAATCAAAAACATTTAGTTGTGAATCATCAGCAGTTGTGTCTGGTCCGTTAATCGTTTATCCTTGTTCGGTC